GTCATTTTAGAAAATTTTGATTAGTACTTTATACCTTAAAACACTTCTTTAGCATAGCAAAATCAAATTTTACACATCATGTGACATTTTTATTACATTCTAATCCCTTTAATTTAGGTGACATATTTAATCATTTCTTCATAACGTTGGTGATCTTTAAAATTTTCTCTTTTAGAAGTTTTCCATTTCTGTGTTTGAAATATTTTATTAATTTTTATTTCCCTTGGTTATACTAAAATATGCACACAGCCCAGCACCCTTGCATAATTCTGGTGTTTTTCTTTTCCATTTCTCAGTAGGAACAGGTATTCTGTGGCTTATGCAGCTCAAAAGCCTTGGCTATTAAATGCTACAGTAGAAGAAAATATTACCTTTGGAAGTCCTTTCAACAAACAGAGGTAATTTTGAGCATATAAAATTTAAAACTAAAATGGCAACTATTTCTGATCCTTGTGTTTGGTCCATGGTTTCTGGAACCCTTACATGGGAGACTTCCTTTCTTCCCTTCTTGCCCCACTTCATCGTCATTTCCGAGGTCTTTGGAATAAATTCTCTGAAGACACACCTCATTGGAAGTTTCAGCCCGTCCTATATACTTGTTGAGAACAATTTGTATACCAAGACTAAAGAGCAGCAATTGAAGTGTATATGTGTCTGGGGGGTGGTGGGAATAGGATAGGAGGTATTGTTTAGGTTATTGGTGAGCAGATAAAGAAGGAAAAAAAATCCAAGTAAACTGCAGAAGAAAGGTTAACCATGGAAAGATGAAGAATGTAGGATCTGAGGAGTCTAGTGCTGGAGCAGCCAGAATATACCATCACCCAACCATCTTTGAAATACCACTGCCATATATGGAAGTATGATCTTTCCTCAAGCCACTTTCACAAGGGTAGGTTTTGGGACCCTAAGCTGGGTCTTGCAAGTTAAGGAGAATCAGGTAAGGGGAGAGGTGTGAGGAAGGGAAAGGGAGAAGGAAAATAGTGTGCAGGAAGATTACGTGGGATTGTTAGTTAGGACCTGGGAGCAAACCAAACAGAAAGAGATTCAGAAGGCTGAGACCAGACAGTGAGGGCCTAAAAGCCAACTGGATGTCATGATGTGCATTCTGGCAGGCATAGCAAGTTTTAGAAAGGGTAACAACAAGGTAAATCTGAAAGTGAAATCTGACAAATAGATATGTCAAGGAGACATTTCAGAGTTGGTTGGAATAATTACCCAGAAATGCAGTGTTTGTTGCCTGCACTTGGGAGTGACAGTAGAAATGTAAAAGATGGGATGGTTGAGAAAAAAACATTCTAAATTAAGAATGGACAAATATAAATAAGGAGAAGAAGAAGGAAGAATTAAGAATGATTTGAATATTTTAAGACTAAGCAATTAAGAAAATGAAACCATGAATAATTTTCCCAGCACCTTCAATCCCCGCACTTTCCTGTCCTTCTAATTCATCTGATTTCCAGTCTCAGCCCTAGATCAACTTGGGTGCTATCAGTCCTCCCCATCTTCTGTTTCCCCTCCCTTAAGCATGCATGGTAGTATGCAAGGACGCCCACTCACACCTATGCTTTAGCCACGATGAACCTCCTCTTGTCCCTCACATGCACCGTGAACTTTTTCACCTTTAAGTTTTCTTAAGCTTTCTTGTCATCATTTTATTCTTGGAACATTATTATTCACCTCTCTGAATACAGTTTAAGCATTGCATCCTCTGTAACTTCTTGGAGTGCACAGTCATTTCTTCCCCTGTATTCTAAGAGTGCTGTGTACTCACCTCCACTATAGCACCTAA